CCCTCACGACGTGATCAAGGTTGCATCAAGTCGCGAGGTTAATCTTGTGTTTGTAATTTTGGAAACGCCAGTAAGTGACTTACTGTTGTAGATGGTTTCCTTTTCATCACGACGCCATGTGGCGTAAGTAAATTGATTTGCTTGGAGTTGAGTTGGCTTGAATAGCCGATCGCCCCTCAGGCGTGCAAGTAACCAGTGTATATTTCCTTGTGCCCCTAAGGCTTGCCGAAGTACAGGCTTGTGTGCCCTTAAGGCTCGCCGGAGTACAGTTTTTTTTTCCTAGATAAGTTGATAGATGCCACGAGGCGTGCCTATACTTGAGTCTGTGCGACTAGGCACAGAGTAATTCTGCATCAACTGTTGAGTATGTTTTGACCAGTCACTGCCCATCAGGCAGAGTACACTTGTATACCTTTGTTATCAATATATACATTTATTTATATGTTGGAAACGCCAGTTGTATTTGTGTATACTTGGGTTGTGTGTGTTCCCTACTAGTTCAGACTAGCAGATCCGTCCAGCTTGGCCCATAGTGCCGATGGTGGTTTTCCTCTCCCGAGATCCCTTACTCGACCTTGGGGAGGCATAGTGCATCACGTACAAGCAAGTCGTTCTTATGAGCCTGTCCCTTACCCATATTGAACAGGAGTTCACAGGTCTAAGTGGGTAGGAGAACTGGGTTCTCGACCCACAGGGTCAAGGGACACGGCTCAAGACATGAAAGTTCTAGCTCTGGTTTAGGTAGTACCAGAGGGCTTATTGGCAGGAATTCACATATTGGTATTGAAACATATAATGCAGCAGTGGGGAGTATGAAGTGGTGGATCGTGGAATGGTACAGTAGTAGCTGTAGTAACAGTTTTTCAAGCTCTAAGAAATGTACATATGGCTCAGTGCAAAGTCCTTGGAGTGAAACATGTAATCTGTATGTCATATATGCAACCTACAGTGTTCCTAAATGTTAGTATGACTTGCATTCCTGCATGTCATCAACATGGCAGGGCTACAGAGGAGCACAGTAGGCCCAGTGAGCCAACAGCATAACAGGATTTCAGTTACACAATCCTGTACAAAGCAGGAAAGTGGCTAGTCAAATACTGGAGACCTTCCATCTTGTCAGTACATCTTTACTCTGTTCAGAATTTGACATAAAATAGCTTTCTACAGTTTAAATTAATTTCTTTCCTGACTTGGTATACCTGAACATCATTGAAGATGGCTGCTTTTTTCAATTGAAAAATGTTTTATACAAATATAACACAAATCCAACAGCTATTTGTATAAATACACCTTTGGAAAAATACAAATGAGAATTGTATAAGAATTTTAAATTCTTTGTAAAGACTATGTTGTATAAGAAAGTACAGTAGATTGTCTCACCATTTGCTAAATCTCAGACAGATATGTAACAGTGTGTGTATAAATTCTTGATATCCCATTTAAGGCACACGCTAATCAGCATCAAGTATCTTAATATTCATGAATGCATTAGCCCAGTTATTCAGACAAAGGGTGAGGAAGCAAGAGATTTTTATAATCACATTTGTTTAACTTTATATTAAAATATAACTGAATAACTTTATAATCAATTAAAATAGGATCAATCATAGATGTATCATTATTACTCTTGGCTATTGCAATGCTCATTCCATGGTTTTTGTACACTTATACCATTGCAAATGTTGATTGTTGTAATAACTGAAAATTGTATTATCCTTTTCCACATTTATAAAACTTTGCAAAGTATTCACTGAGAACACGTGGCTATGTAATTACGGGTACTGACATGTTTTCCACAATAACAACAGGTTGTAGGTTAATATAGATGCCTGAATAATAATATTTGAATTACTGAGCATTCAGATTAATTAATTCTGAGAAGAAAAGAAGCATGTGTATATTTCATTTATGGAATTTTAAGAAAAGTATTGACAATTTCTGAATGAAGCTTAAACTGAAATTCATCATGTATTAAAAGTACGATTATATTAGAGGAGGATGTTTAGACAGCACTAATGTTGAATAATATTATCCTCCACAATCTGATGCTTTGTAGTCCAGTAGGTAACACTAATGTTCATTTTAAAGAATTTTTTAATCTCTTTCAGACTTTTGCTGTTTACCACTATGGATGATGTTTGCTTCTTTGATAGCTATGAAAAGTTGCTTGATAGAAATAAAAGTTTATTTATTGGACACCAGATAGTTTTCCATAATGTGTAGTTTTTCTGTAACTTCTCCAAAAA